TGAAAAGAATAGATAAGTTGCAGAAAGTATGTAAGTAAAAGAACAAGTAATATTATAACATCATAAAGGAAAATTAAAATATCACAATTAAAATTTTAAGTAAACTCTGGCTGGTTTGGCTCAATGGTTAGAACATTGGCCCACAGACCAGTGAGTTGCAAGTTCAATTCCGGTCAAGGGCATGTACCTCAGTTGTGGTTGGTCCCTAGCCCTGGTAGGGTTGTGCGGGAGAACCAGTCGATGTGTCTCTCTCGGGTGAGGATTAAAAAAAAAGAAAATGTTAAGTAAGGCTCCCCCCATATTAAAAACACAATTAGATTAATAAATTTAATAGTGAAAAAGTTTCATCTCAAACTCTATAATGGTAGTTAATCTTTTGTTTATTTAAATCTAGTTTGCTTATTGGAAGGGTTTGAGATTTATACAATGATTTAAAATAAGAATGAGAAAACGAATCATTTGATATCTAGAATTTATGAGCATGTTCTTATGGACATGTTCTTCAAGTAGCTACTGCTGTGACCATCCACATGGAAGTCTAGGCATAGTATTAAAACTAGTTCTCTGAAGAAATGTTTTTAGTGGGCCTAAAATTGTTCAGTCCATGGATATATTTGTCTGGAGATTGATTTTGTACAAAGGTGGGTCTGTTTAGGTTTACACAACAGAGCATGAAGGAGACAACCTTTCTCATGACCATCACTACTGTGTCATGTAGGTGTTAGTGTGAAACAAAAATACTTAACTACTGTTACTAGAGAATTGCATGGATTGCCTTTCTCCATTGCTAGTGGGAGTGGGGTTCTTGGGGCACCATTGGCATAAACATTTCTGGAGGCCCCCAGGGGAGGATGAGATGTGGTAAAAAGCTTTATTTGTGTGAAGTTATATCCCTTGGTTTGCAAAGTCCCATTTCCCTTAAACCAGTCTTGGAAAATATGCAATTATGGATTCAGCAAAACTGTAAGTAAAGCCAGTGTCCAAAGTTTCCATTCCATGGTAGAGTTAAGTCCAGCATAGCTTCAGGCTAATCACAGCCCATTAGTCCGTTAGTCCATTAGTCCATTGTGTGTGGGGTCCACAGGGCTGTGGGCCATGTGGGCAAGTGCAGAGTATGAGAGCCCTGAAAGCCAGGAGTCTCCTGGTAGCAACAGGAGAGAGCAAGAAGGCAAAACTCCTTTGTTCAGGAGTTTATCAAATCTTCCTGTGCTTGCAGTGGCTATGCCAATCCTGGCCAATGATTTGTTCCCACGTGTGATTGACAGGCAAGCAGCTTCCCATGTCACCCAGACCTTACTGGGCATGCATCTATTGTCCAGTTCCTTTCCCCATCAATCTGTGGGGAACAGACCTGGAGAATGTTCAACTGCAGCTTCCTGGCAAAGCTGCACAAACGACATGCCTATATTATCTGGTCTCCCCTTTGCTCCTTTCCTATTATTTAATAGCTAGGTTGTTACAATGGTATTAGTACCACCACACCTATTTTGAGATGATCATTGAAGATAGATGGAATAAGAAAAAGTGAGAGATTTACTGTATGTTGCATGATACTTTATCTTTCTGTCTTATATTTATCACAGAAGGAGATAATTATTTGCATTGTCTTCCCATTTAAGCTGAATGCTCTCTGAGCATTTTATTAATCTTTTATATTATTGTTTCTACAGTGTATGGCAATTCTAATCATGCAATAAATATTTTTAGATAGATATAAATATAATTTTCAGGAAATTAAGGGAAAAAATTGTATCAGGAAAATCCAAAGGAAACAATACTAATAGAGGTATAAGTTAAGCAACATGGCAAAATAAAGTCCCCAGAATTCAGTTACAATACAACATGCCAGTGATAAAAAGCCTAGCACATTCTTTAAAAATAGTCATTTTAAAGACAAATAGCACCCTGGCTGGTTTGGCTCAGCAGTTAGAGTGTTGGCCCGCAGACCAGAGAGTCCCAGGTTCAGTTCCCACTAGGGGCACGCACCTGGGTTGCAGTTTGTCCCCGGCGCCAATTGGGTCGTGTGTGTGGCGACCACTCATTGTGTCTCTCTCACGTCGATGTTTCTCTCTCTTCCTCCCGCTCTATCTGAAGATAAATGCAAAAGTGTCCTCGAGTGAGGATAAAAAAAACAAGTAGCAAGAAATAAGATTAAATATTAATAACAATCTAATATAGAAATTAGAGGTTTATTCAACAAATTAAAAGACTAATGATTGGATCTGAGATCTAGCTGAGAAAAATAAATTTACAAATACTTTGCTTAATATGAACACTTTGGTTAATATGAACACTTAAAATATCATTTAAATTACAATGTCGTATTGTTTATTCTAGAAAAACAAGGGAGCAAATATACCATATAATCTTTGGGTGTAAGGATTTTGGAGAGGGAATTTCTAAATTTAGCAAACTTCAAAATATATTCCAAAAGTAATCAACAACTTTATGTGACATTTAAAACTTATTATAAAAAATAAGAAATGGGCAAATCCAGCTTTCTTTTCAGAATCAAAATGCAGAACAAATGGAAAAATTATGATATTTAAACATCACAAGTTTAAGCCTCCACAACTATATTTGATTTTGATGTTAAAGTATAAATACTATATAGAGGAGTGAAATAAACCAGATTCCAGAAATAAGTTGTTTCTCAGGAGCAAATTATGTGACAACTGGAAAACAAAGGAGAACAAGCTTGGTTTTTACTAATTGCTGCTGAAAAAGACAGGAAGCTTGTATACAAATTATTTAAGGTCTTATATAAAGCTAAACATGAAAAAACTTAGAAGAAAGTAGGTTAGGATATTTATTTCAAAACTTGTTTTAAAAACCCTGGTAAAATGTTGAATGCTAATTACCTTTTACATCTGTGCAATGAAAAATTAAAGTCAGATAAAGTGGAAGGAAACTGGGAAATTGTGGTGAATATAAATAAAAGCTTAACATTACAAAATGTATAAAATTTACTAAGGGTAATACCTAGTCCTTACTAGAGAATTCTAATTCAACCAAATGGCTCTTCTATAAATAACAAATCAAGACAGTAACAAGACCTGTTGTCAGGGTGGTCATAGAGTGCTGTAAGTGCTTTGAGCCCTACAAGGTTTTTTTGTTTGTTTGTTTTCTTTTTAAATATTTTTTAAAATTAATTTTAGAGAGGAAGGGAGAGGGAGAGATAAAACAGCAATGAGAGAGAACATCAGTTGACCGCTTCCTGCATGCCCCCCACTGGGGATTGGACCTACAACCTGGGCATGTGCCCTTACTGGGAACCAGCAACCTCCTGGTACATGGGTTGATCCTCAACCAGTGAGTCACACCGGTTGGGCCCTACAAGGTTTTTTTGACTAAGGGAACAAGAGCTTCTTAGAGGAGAAAAGGTATGAACTGAGCCTAAAGGCCATAACTATTGGGGACTTTCTTGGATGGCTTTGGAAAATAGCATGCGTCTGATGGACAACCGTTGGAGATGTGAGGCACAATCTAACATCAGCAGTTGGACTGGGGTGTATTAAAGATGGATTGAAAAGTCAAAGATGAAAGGTGGGGAGAGCAGCTAAACAGGTGAGAGGTAACAAAGGCCCAAACCAGGGAAGGATGGTAGGGAGAGACATTGTAAGGGCAGATAATAAGGCAAGGTTTGGTCACTGCCCCTGACACCAGGACATCCTTTCTGAATTAAGTCGAGTGTCAGGATCGCATACTTTACCTGGACTTTGTCAGCCGTTGGTGGTATTTTCATTGGCCTGTGCAGAGGCAGTCTATGAGAAACAGTCCTATGGAATTTGCCTTTCTACAATGGCATTATTATGGGAATCCTTGGGAGAAGTTTCTGATTTTGGTGTCAGGATTTCACTTAAAGAATAAGGTTGCTTTGCCCAGGTAGTGTGGCTCAGTGGATTGAGCATTGTCCCAGGGACTGAGAGGTCCTGGTTCAATTCCCAGTCAGGGCACAGACCCAAGTTGAAGGCTCAAACCCCACTAAGGGGTGTGTGTAAGAGGCAGATGATCGATGTTTTCTCTCTCACATCAATGTTTCTAGACTCTCTTTCCCATCCTCTCTCTAAAAAATCAATAAAAACACATTTTTAAAAAAATGTTGCTTTTATATTTTAGACTCTTAAGTATGTGACTGTTTTCATCTTAGTGATGATTGCTAGAAAGTTTAGTTAGAGACAGGTTTATGGATTGACTGTTGACTAAGTTTTGTATCCTGCAGGAATATATTTTTGTGTTTTCATTCCTGGCTCTACTTTCTGTTTCTCTCCATGTTTTTTTTTTTATTACCTTCTAGTTTATTGTGCTGAGCTATGTCGACTTTTATGTAGACTTCAAATATTCTTTGAAAGAAAGTGGGACATAAATATATGTATTTGCACATAAAATCAGTAAAACCAAATAAAAATTATAAAGCCCATAGTGTTGTAAGGTGCCATGGAGAAATAAGCACACATTACTTGCTAATGACTGTACATTGCAGTTCCTGAGGATTGTATCTAGCAATAGATACTCAAAGCTATAAAGTTGTTCATACTCAGAAACTATTAATGCTACTTTTGAAAATATATCACAAAGAACCCAAAAGAAACAGTTTTCACATAAGTGTTTACAGCTATAATACATAATAGTAGAAAAAGGGAAGGAACCAAAATGCACAGTGGTAGAGGATGGTTTGAAATATTGGTTAATACAATGGATATTATAAAGACATCAAAAATAGTTAAGTAGATTTGATGAATAGAAATGTACATAAACATGTAAATTGTCAAAATATGCATTATACTCATTTAAGTAAAAAGAAATGAGAGGTCATGGAGTGTTGTAATTAATATTTATGAATAGGCTTTTTTCCCCCCCTGCAGAGTGAATATAATTATTAAGTACTTTTGAGATTAGTATCAGTTTAAGGAGTAGGTTTTGGAGACTTCATAAAATTTAAAGCTTTACTTTTGTTATTTCTTCAGCTACCAAGCAGCCTGTTTGTCCTTTTGTTTCAGGATTTAAGCATTGAGGAACAGTCAGAGTGTACTCAGGATTTTTACCAGAATGTGACTGAAAGAATGCAGACTCGTGGAAAAGGTAATACTCTGTGAGCCGGCCCAAAGTGAGGGATTGCTGGTAGTTGGACAGGGCCAGACTGCTGAGTCTCTTAGCAGTTTCTCTCTTTCTCTGAAGGCCTAGCTGGTGTGCCCACTCTATCCTATAAACTACTCCAACATTTTGCTAGCTGGTCTTATACTTAGCATTGCCTTTGAATACCACCATGTATATTATTCCAAGATAATCAGAGCAATTGGATAATTTGAGCAGTGTTTAATAACTTCATTAGGGGTTGGGGCAGAGTCAATTAAAACTCTTTGGGAGACTTCTAAATGAATCCCCCATTTTGGAATTACCATCTTGGTGAGTTATTTGTCCATGATTATGTATTCATTATGGGTTGAGGCAGGAAAAAAAATTTAAGAACCACTGATTTAGCACTCTAGGTTTTTAGGGATTCTTCTTGAATTTGACTTCCATTGATTTTAGATTTTAGGATGTACTTAGCATACATGTATATCTGAGAAATCTACCCCATATATATATACTTTGAAGAGATTTCTAAGATTTTATAGTAAACCTCAGAAAAGTGAAAGAGTGAGTCTTGCTAGCATTCATTAGTCTTGGGAATTTCAAGTGCTTTTCTAATGTTGCAATAGAGAGTGACCCTTGCTGAGTCTTCCTACTGGGTGTTAGGAAGACCTGCCACCTGTTAGGTCTTGCCAAAACAGCTTAAGTTAGGAGTGGAGATTCTGCAAAAGGCATTCCCAAAGGTGAGGTAATTTTTAAAAGGTATTTTTCAATGTAACATTTTATACTTTTCTCTTTGGATGTGTTTAATATATTTTTAGCAAATTAGTTTTCTGCTATATAGAAAGTACTCTTAATTTTAAATGTCCATCCTCATTTTGAGTGTTTATATTTATTTGGATATTTCAGTTGCTCCGGAAAGAGTTGAGAAGATAATGGATCAGGTTGAGAAGTACATAATGACTCGTCTCTATAAGTATGTGTTCTGTCCAGAAACTACTGATGATGAGAAGAAAGATCTTGCTATTCAAAAGAGGATCAGGTATTTGATTGTTTTGCTTTGTCTTGTTGTATAGTAGCTCCCCCCCCCCCCCCCCTTATCTGCAGGATGTTTGTTTCAAGACCTCAAGTGGATGCTGGAAACTGCAGATAGTACCAAACCCTATATATACTTTTTCCTCCAAATACATATATCAGTGATAAAGTTTAATTTATAAATTAGGCACATAAGAAATTAACAACAATAACTAATAAAATAGAACAACTATAACAATGTACTGTAATAAAAGTGATGTGAATGTGGTCTTTCTCTCTCAGTGTATCTTACTAAATTGAGAACTGCCACCTTTTCACTTAAAGGAAGCACTATACGACTTCTCTTTGGCATTTCGAATTGCCAGCGTCACTGCTCTTGTGCATTGGGGCCATTATTAAGTAAAACGAGGCTGACTTGAACAATAGCACTGCGATGCCATGACAGTCAGTCTCAGAACTGAGGTGGCCATGAAGTGACTGTCCCAAGGGACTAATGGACAGGTAGAGTATGAGTGTGGATATGCTGGACAAAGGGATGATTCACGTCTTGGGTAGGACAGCACGGGGTTTTGTCACACTACTCCAAACAGCAGTTTAAAACTTATGAATTATTTATTTCTGGAATTTTGCACTTAGTATTTTTGCATCACAGTTGACTATGGGTAACTGAAACTGTAGAAAGTGAAACTGTATAAGGAGGGACTTAATTTACTACTATATTAACTACCATCTGTTGGAAGAACACCTTGTGGGAAAACAGGGCATTTGAATTTCAGACCTTGAGAGCAGGTAACAACTAAGGTACCTACCATCCTTAGCATATAAGCTTCTTTGTGGTGTGAGAAAGAACAGGAATATGGTACACTGTTAGGAGGAAAGAGCTCAAGTCACCATCTTGCTTATCCATCTGACTCCAAGCAGCTTTAGGTAAGAACCATTTTTGATGTTTCAGATTGTTTAAAATCTCCAGGTTTTCTAAGGAGGAAATTTTATTATTTTCTCATTTAATGGTATTAACTGTCTTGTCAGGCAGGAAGCTGTAAATAACCATATCAAGGCGATGGGTGTCATTTTTCCTCATCTCTACAAGGGGTGCTCATTTTTCAGCCATCCCTCCAATCACATCTTTCCACAGCAGTGGGTAGATAATACCTGGTAGAGCACCCAATCTTTCATGGCAGGCAGAGTGAGCCTCAGTGCTCTGCATTCCAGTGGCAGTGAAACAGAAAATGGGCTGTCAAATTTGGGGGAACCACGCAAAGACTGAACATGACGAGGTGTTTCTGGAGGAGAGGAGCCAAGGAATTTCTAATGGAGTTCACAAACAATGGGGTTGGTGATTGTAGATCAGTACTTTCTGTTGTCACACCAGAAATGAGAAGTTGATCTTGGGAAGATAGAAGATAGACCAGAGGTGACATCTAGGGCTTTGGACTGAGATTCAGAGTAAGAGCATTAATCAGGCAAGTGGTGAGCATAGACAGCAGAATCTCAGAAGTGACGTTAACGTGACTGGGGAACGCAGTGATTCAGGTTGAAGTGACACATGCTTGATCTCTTGTGCAAGCTCTGGTGTGCTTCAGAAGTTGAGGGCAGAGCCTACAAGGGCGTTAATGGTGGTGGACAGTGAGGACAGAGCAGCAGTTTCTTCTCAAATCTTCATTCTCAAGTATCTAGTACTTTAGGCTTAGTATAATCTCATTACAGTCCATAAAATTGTCTTATGCTTTTCTTGTAATAAGGGCAGAAGAGAAGACTCACTTTAGAATTCTAGTTGCTTTGACACGTCAGCTGAGCTTCTGATCTGTGCAGGGGTGGTGTGCTTGGGCCTAGAGTTGCCTGATTAGTCAGTGGTGTCCCTTATTTTCCTGTAACTGACGTCAATGACAAGATAAATGACTACAGCCTTTTCTTTGAACTCTGTTTTTACTGTCTTTCTCTCGTAGAGCCCTGCACTGGGTTACACCTCAGATGCTTTTCGTCCCTGTGAACGAAGAAATTCCAGAAGTGTCTGATATGGTGGTGAAAGCAATTACAGGTCAGTGAACATTTTATCTATATTTTTTTATATTTGTATGTTTTTCCCTTGAAGTTAACATATTTTATACATCCATACTTATTTCAGTGAGTAAAATGACAGTAAAGTATTTCTTTTTTAATTTTTTTTTAATCCTCACCAGAGGACATTTTTGTATTTATCTTCAGATAGAGCGGGAGGGAGAGTAGGGGGAAGAGAGAGAGAAACATCAATGTGAGTGCAACAACCTGCACAACCCCAACTGGGGCTGGGGACAAACTACAACCGAGGCATGTGCCCTCAGCGGGAACCGAACCTGGGACTCTGGTCCGCAGGCTGACGCTCTAACCACTGAGCACAACCGGCCAGGACATCAGTAAAGTATTTCTAAAAGGCAGACTGCCAAAGATATATTGGAATGTGGTAAAAGTGATTTGCAAGAGTGTTCGTTTTATGAATTTAAAGCATTCTAATTAGCAGGTAAACTACTTACCCCTTCACTTTCCATGACCCAGGTCTCTTTTATTTCTTGGATACTGAACTAAACTAAGATCAAATACAACTAGGGTAAATTTCTTAAAACTCCGTTGCATTTGAGTTGCACTCAAAGTAAGTTTGGAGAGAGGGATGGAATTGGTGAGGCAAGGTAATCCCCAAACTAGAGTTACATATTAAAATGATGCTTCTAATTGGTTGTTAATCAGAGATATGCTTTGAATTCGTTTTCTGGTTTATTCAGGAAGTATATGAAGTGCCCGCAACTGATGTGGCTCTGCCGTTCTGGACAGGTCCGGGCACCTAATAAGGTTTCTCTTTCTTATTCATAGGAGAAACCCAGCAGAAACACAACACAAACATTTAAAAAACAAAAAAGAAACAAAACTCCTGATGGAGAAGATGTTTAACCTTGGCCAGCTTCTCCTTAATTAAGGAAAAGAGTTGGAAAGACTTGCTCATTTAGAGATTGTTAATTAAATTCTAGTGGGAAGGAAAGTGGGCCAGCTGATAGTGGTAGTGTTTAAGTGCATTTAAGTAGGCTCTTTTGGTTTTAAGAACCAGAGATTCACTCAACTAACAAAAGAGATGCGGGTTGGCTTCAGATATTACGAGGGTTGGAAGGGAGGCAGGACTATCACAGAAACAGTGTCAAGCCTTCTCTAGAGATTGTGTTATCTGCTGTTAATATGATCCTTTTCCACTTTCTCAGGTTCTGCTGTTCTTTGTATATCTTTGCATTTCATCTCCTGTTGTTAAATGAATTGTTGTCTTTAATTCCCCATGGAGAGTCTAATTAGCGTAGCTAAATAGTATCGTCTTTGTCATTCAAGTTTTTCTGCTAGGCTATGTCACAGGTCCAAGGAATTGAGTTCTTTGGGTCAGGGCCCACCCCTACCCCTACCTTTTGCTCAGGGAACATTGTAGGAGCTTGAAGGTGACAGCCTCTCAAAAGCCTTTTAGACTTTTACCTAGTTCAAGACCAACTGGTTTATGTTTAAACTACGCTGTAGGAATTTATGTTGAGAACTCTTTTCTGAAAAGCCACAGGGCAGACCTTGCAAAACCAGAAACTACAAGTACCCAACTGTTGCTTACTTTAAAAGAGAACAAAAAAGAGGATTTTAGTACATCAGCAGTTTGTTAGAATTTGAGAGGTAAAACTTTTCTCTCCAGGCACCTGAGATGGAGTTTTAAGAGATCTTTTGATGGTAAAGATTCAACCACAAAATTGTGAACACATTCTTACTCTTTCTTATTTTAGCCCCGACATTTTGCCAATCCAAATGCAGACATATTCTGCCTCTGTGAAGATAAAGGTTATATGATCACTTTCTTCCTAATCTAAAATTGTCAACCTAAGTACAGGAGTATTTACCGAGGACAGTCTATAATAATCATCTTTTATATATATATATATATATATATATATATATATATATATATATAATAAATATGGAGATATCAGTTAAATTTCTCCAAGTCATCCATGTACTGCTAATCAGCACTGTCAGTTTTGAGGCATTCTCTGGTTTAGTTCACTTCTGGCATCTAGTGGGTGGAGCCAGGGATACTACCAAACATCCTGCAGTGAGTGCACAGGACAGTTCCCACAACATGGAATTTTCCAGCCCAAATGTCAATGGTGCCCAGGTTGAGAAAACATAACCTAGAAGTACAGACTACTTTATTTCAAAACTCCATTAAAAATAAGTCTAGACATCTGCACTCAGCCCTATCTTTCCTACTGATTCAAAGTAAAAGTCGGGGGCAGAAGATCCAAAGCAATTGTCTGAGAACTTGGAAAAGTAAATAGTAGCAGGCAGATTGGGGAGGGAAATCACTATTAGATGAACAATAATACAAGGTGAGTTTCCTGTTTTGTTTGTTTTTCTTCCCACATTTTCTAGTTTAGACTTCAGGACAGTGCAAATCATGGAACTGCATGTTGGGGTGTGGGGTCCAAAAGAGTTCCCACAGAAAAACTTCTTTCAGGCCGAAGGATGCTTAAGAAGGGGGTGGAGGGGTGGCTGCAGGATGAAGAATGTGGGAGAAATCCCTTGGATTTTGTTTTTTTCCCTTTATATTCTCTTCTTTACAGTCCTGGCCCTGCCCCTTGGCAGTGGCGGCTACACATGCCTCCAGATAAAAAATAACTCATTTTTTACTTACTTTAAAATATGATTTATGAGCCCTGGTCGGTTTGGCTCAGCAGTTAGAGTGTCAGCCTATGGTCCAGAGAGACCCGGGTTCGGTTCCCGCTAAGGGCATGTACCTCGGTTGCAGTTTGTCCCCGGCCCTGGTTGGGTCATGTGGGTGGCAGCCATTCGATATGTCCCTTTAGCGTCGATGTCCCCCCCCCCCCACTCTATCTGAACAAAAAATGAAAAAATGTCCTTGGGTGAAGATTAAAAATAATAAATAAAATATGATTAATGAGAAAATGGTTAAATGTTTAAAATAGAGAATAAAAATCATCAGTAAAGGCTAAATAGGATAAATGAATGTGGAAAAAATGCTAAAAAAAAAAAATCTTCCCCAATATCTTTTTTGTAATAAGCTATGTTTAAACAGAAAAAGGAAAATAGACTGAGGCATAGTAATAATAATTATAATCCAGAATAAAAATTTAAAGGAACAAATAATAAAATAAGTGAAGATTATATAATTCACAATATAGGTATATAAGTAGAGGGAACAAAAAGCATTGGTAAGTTAAAATAAGGCCTCTGCACTGTCTAGTGTCTGTGTCCGCCACACATGTCTGGTGGTCCTGTGAGGGTCCCTCACGTAGCTTACCCCATAGGAGCTGAGAGTACCACCCTGTCACCTAAATCTGAAACTTATTCCTGCTTGTGGCGAGAACTGCTGTCAAATTCAGCTGCCTCGGCTATTTTCTTTGACAGAATTCCAGATGGCAAGCATATGTGTGCATCCAAAGGCACGTCCCTCCCTACGCTTGCGTTGTTCTGACTTCGTACCTAACTTTTCCTCACCACCTCCTAGTCCTTGTGACAAAGGGTGTGTGCATAGAAGAGCCCACCAGTTGGACTTAGTGGCAGTGAAGGGCAGTGAAATTATTTTTTTCTAAGAAATAAAAAGTTTATGAGATCAAACTTACACCCTTGTTTTGTCTCCTCTGCTAACCAGCAGGTTATAAGTGTTGTTAAGTTTCTATAGATGTTCGTGGCTAGTGGAGATTTGCAAGCTATGAGGATTGGCCACTGTGGACCTCTGTGTGATGGGTTTCAGCAGCTGTAGTGTGCTATCCAGTACGAGGTGCTTTGTATAGTCGCCAACCATGTTGCTAAACAGCAGTATACAAATTGAAGATTTCTAAACTGAGTTTTACAATGTATTAAGAAGCAATAAAAAAGACTCTTATTTCTCAGTGGAACTCATAAGTAGTTTGATATCATGATTAAACGAATGGGCTTTAGAGTCAGATAGACTTGCTTTCAAATCCCCCCTCTGTTACTTGCTATCTGTGTGATCTTGGGCAAATCATTGAACTTTTCTGAACCTCAGTTCTTGAAATAATAATAGTATCCCTCGCATCATCTGAGAATGAAACACATGTGCTTGTAGAGCATACTGTGTAGTGCCTGGCTCATGGCCCCACATTCTGTAAGGATGTGCTGGTATTACTATTTGTGCCATCTAAGTTTTTTATACACTAAGTTAACTGGTGGAGAAGGAATTAGCAAGGTTACTGCTGCAAATAGGAAAAAGTGATTATCCTAATGCTTTTTTAATGTAATTATTTTCTCATTGGAAGCAGTGTGTTTTCTGTTTTCTAGATATTATTGAAATGGACTCGAAGCGTGTGCCTAGAGACAAGCTGGCCTGCATCACCAAGTGCAGCAAGCACATCTTCAATGCCATCAAGATCACAAAGAACGAGCCAGCTTCAGCCGACGACTTTTTACCCACACTCATCTACATTGTTTTGAAGGGTAACCCCCCACGCCTTCAGTCTAACATTCAGTATATCACCCGCTTCTGCAACCCAAGCCGGTTGATGACTGGAGAGGATGGCTACTATTTCACCAATCTGGTGAGTACTTGAATTCTTGGTGTCTGGAGAAGAACCATGAAGGTATTTATTTTAGGAATATGGTGGGTCACTCCCTGGCCTGTGACAGGTTAATGCTCCTGAGTTTTTTGAGTCAGCATAATTACAGATGCTTGCTTGGTGTCACAGAACACACGTGACCAGGTCATGCAAACACCCCAGCTACCAGTACTTGACTACAGACTATGGCACTTGTATGGGAAACATGATAGCCACGTTGAGGTGTCTGCTGCTGTTGGCCATCTCTCCCCAGGGTCCTGGGCATAAGAGCCATTCAGTTAGGTGGGTTGTTTCAACCATGAGTAAGTCAGATCCTGGATTTAGATTCCTTTATTAAAAGACTTAAGATTTATTTTTTGTTTTATTTCTACAAGTTACCACTTAGAACTGAATACTGAGGTATTTTAAGAAAGGATCAGTTTAGAGGATGTGAAATGATTTTCAACTATTGTTTTGCTACAATGGTTATTGCTTCTCAGCAAGACAATATTGAAGATATATGTATCTAAGTTATAAAGCCAAATGCTTCCTTTTACTGACTACCAAACTTCTGCTTGTTCGTTTAGACTAGATTTACTGTCAAGCCTATGAATTTGAGCCTCAGACACCTGTGCTGGAAGTTGCACAGGGTAATAGACAGGGAGAGGAAGCCAAGGTACATAAGGAATTGTTTCTGGTAAATTGTCTAAAAAGGCAGGTACTTGAACCTCCAAGACTCCAGAAATTTGTTGTGATTTATTTTTACATCTTAAGTATCTATTCACTTTTGTACCTGACTTTGTATTTGTCCTTTTTTTTTTTTCTTTAAGTGGATTCCCAAAAATATGTAAGCTTCAGGTCCCTCAAAACTGGGACCTGCCCTGGTTACACATCACCTTCAGCCACGTGTGCCCCATTTGTTACTGCAGTGCCGCATTCGGGCAGTGTGGTTTGCGGTGGAGGGGTTTGGGAATACGTTTTCAAAATGATACCTGCTCCATTATCTGGAGCACTGTTTCTTAACATAAGTGAGAGCCTTTTAGAGTGAGTTGTTATCTAGAGAGGATTCGATAATCCGGAAATCCCGAGAAGTATGGAGATGGAGCCACATGGTAGTAGGGACATGAAGCAAGACCAGGACGTGTTTGAGGGACCCCAGTTAAAAATGGAGGCTGCTGGTTTACCTACACTCTGCAGCTTCCTGGCACCTTGACCTACAGCCTTCACTATGTTTGTACCTTCTTCATTCTTTTCTTGCCCGACTCAGTCAGCTTCTGTCTTTACTTCTCCAGTGAAACTGTTCTGGCAAAAGTAAAAAATCTGCCAGTTGCCAAACCCCATGGGGAACCCTCAGTCCCCATCTTACGTCTTTAACACTCTTGATGGCTCCTTTGTTCTGGAACTTACATCTCTTGGCTTCCACAATTCCACCCCTTCTTGTCCCTTTAGGCTTTGTATCCTCTACTGCCTCTTGAGTTGTGTCACTCCCTGGGCTTCTGTCCTTGCATCTCTCTCCCTAGCTGTCTCCTCTGGTCACAGCTCTGCTGGTCTCTGGTACAGTGGTGACCCAAAGGTTTATGTCACCTGTTTTGACCTCATGCTGAGCTCAACTTCCAGCTATTTGTTGTGCCTTACATTTAATTTGTTCAAAACTGAAAGTGCTTCCCTTTTTTTTTCTTTTCTGTATACAGTTGATCCTTGAACAATATGGGTTTGAACTGCATGAGTCCAGTTATATGCAGATTTTTTCAATAAATACTGTAACTGTGTTTTCTCTTTCTTATGATTTTCTCTCTTTTGTTTTATTTGTTAATCCTTACCTGAGGATATCTTTCCATTGACTTTTAGATAGAGTAGAAGGAAGGAAGGGGGGCAGAGAGAGAGAAACATCCATGTGAGAGATACACATCAATTGGTTTCCTCCCACACAACCCTGACTGGGGCCAGAGATTGACCCTGCAATCCAGGTACATGCCCTTGACTGGGAATCAAACCCACGACCCTTTGGTCATTGGGCCCACACTCTAACTGCTAAGCCAAACTGACCAAGACTGATTTTCTTAATAACATTGTTTCTCTGGTATACTGTATTGTAAGAATATAGTATATAATATATATAACATATAAAATATGTATTAATCAACTGTTTATGTTATTGGTAAGGCGTCCAGTCAAAAGTAGGCTATTAGTAGTTAAGTTTGGGGGAGTCAGTAGTTGTATGTGGATTTTTTACTTTGTGGCAGTTGGTGCCCCTAACCTCACATTGTTTAGGAGTCAGCTGTCCAAAGTTTCCACTAGTGGCAATATTATATATTCTTTCACCTAAACCAGGAATGTTGGGATCATCTTAGATTCCTCCTCTCTCCAGGTAAAGGGCTTCAGCAATTACACACACACAGTTCAAACCCATGTGGAAGGGTCAAATGGGCACATCCTCATCAGATGACTCAATTGTAATAGATTTGCTGAATATTTCTTTAAAAGATGATTTGCTTTTTTATAAGTAATAAGGTAGGATCCTGTGAGTTTCTCAGAAAAAATTCTGAGAGCTGCCCATTTCCCTGTTTCTTGTGAAAATGGCTTTTTTTTTTAGCCCTGGTTGGGTGGCTCAGTTGGTTAGAATGTCATCTCGTACACCAAATGGTTGCAGGTTCGATCCCTGGTCAGGGCACATAAGGAAGGCAACCGATCAATGTTTCTCTCCTCCCCACTCCAACCCTTTGCTCTCTCTCTCTGAAAATCAGTAAAAACATATCCTTGGGTGAGGATTTTTTTAAAAATAGCTTTTTAAAAATGTGAAAATAGTGCATGCCCCGTTTAGAAAAATTTAATCAATATAAAGAAGTGTAACACAGATGTCTGTTTCACTGAGCGTTTTTCCTAGCATTTCTGTACTAATAATCGTTGCCATTTATTCATTGCTTACGACAGACCTATGAGCTAAGCACATTGCATGTGTTATGGTGTTTAATTCTCACAATAAACCTGGGTGGGATTTTCCCCATTTTACACATGTGGAAACCTCGCAGAGTTTAGATAACTTTCCTAGGGTCACACAACTCTTGGCTGTCAAGTGACAGAGGTGACAATTCCGGCTGTCTGGTTTTAAGCATGTGATTTAAAATAACTCTCTGAGGACTGGGGTATGTGTGCCACACTGGTCCCTGTGGATACTCCCAGTGTCTGGCCATGTCCAAGTAGGCTTGTGGAGCTGGCAAGACCCCAAAACCAATGGTTTTATGAGGCGTGCCCCCCAGATACCTGGCCCTGGAGCTCCTGGCCACAACAGTGAGTCCTCTGCCCTGCAGCGTGGCAGGGAGCAGAGCCTCCGACTTCAAGGGGTCGTTGGTTTTGTCTGCAGGGCGCTCAGTGGCAGTCTGGGTGAGACCGGCGCTGACGGCGCCTCCTCAGATACTTCACTCTGTTCGAGACCTTAGCACCTTTGAACTGCCTGAGTAGAACTGTTTCCAGCAGGCTCTGTGGAAGCTGGCAGTTGGATTAATCGTGTGTGTGTTTTTTAGGAAGAAATGTATTGTTTCAGATGAGAGCATAAATGAAACATGACTGGCTGTGAGTTGGTAGTTTTTGAAGCTGAAGTCCGTGGAGGTTCATTGGACTGTTTTGTCTACTTTTGCTTCAGTTTTAAGTTTTCCCTAATAAAAGGATTTTTAAAAATCTATTTGAATTTTTGTAGCTTTCCTCATATGACTATAATAAATAACATTCTCTTCTTTTTGTAGTGCTGTGCCGTGGCTTTCATTGAGAAGTTAGACGCTCAGTCTTTGAATTTAAGTCAGGAAGATTTTGATCGATACATGTCTGGCCAGACTTCTCCCAGAAAGCAAGAATCTGAGAGTTGGTCTCCTGATGCTTGTTTAGGTGTTAAGCAAATGTATAAGAACTTGGATCTCCTGTCTCAATTGAATGAACGACAAGAAAGGATTATGAATGAAGCCAAGAAGCTTGAAAAAGATCTAATAGATTGGACGGATGGAATTGCAAAAAAGGTTCAAGACATTGTTGAGAAATGTCCACTTGAAATCAAACCCCCAAATCAGTCTTTAGCAGCTATTGACTCTGAAAATGTTGAAAACGATAAACTCCCTCCACCATTGCAACCTCAAGTTTATGCAGGATGATAAAAATGTACATGGATAGTATTTATTTAAGCCTAAATTGTAGCTAGCCCTTACTCCAGTCCACCGATTGAGATATAGAATATAACTTAATTGCTTATAAATGCCAGGGCATTTTTATAGGTACAGTTTGTGGGGATTGTTTTTCTTTTGTTTTGTTTTCCTGGCAGGGGAAGTTTAGTAAATAATAAAGTACTATTTATTTGAGTTACTAAAATAGATTCATTTAAGACTTGTGTGAAAATTTTGTCTAAGTCTGTTTTTCTCGCCACAATTTTCCTGTGTGCTTTCTTGTGGTAGTCAGTGTGGTTTAGATCTGGGCAAATAATTGCCTCGTAAAGGGCAAAGCAAATGAATGCTATAAACTGTATGTTTAAGGGACTTCAATGGTACCACTATTCTATAATTTGAAATAATTTTATAATTGTAAAGATAGAAGATATATTGATAAGTAAGTATATAAAATTGTAAATATGTAAAAAAAAAAAAATAAGGGAATGGTGTGTGCTGTGCATGGCATTTCATGTATTTATTTTTTTAGTTTAAAATGGTATATTGACTATTTGTCTTTAACACCGTATTATTTGGTTTGCCCCACTAAAGTGAATGTAGAAGTGTTTAGACAAACCCCTTAAAATGGTGACTCCGTCTTTAACAATATGGAACCCCTGACTTTGATGTCCTGTATAGTCAGAGACTATGACACTGTTAAGGTTCAGGGTAATTTCAAGTTATATAAAGTCACTGTTTAGTATAGCCAGTTGAAGACTTTGAACCATGCTTCTCACACCTCTTTCCTCTGTCCAGTCAGCAGATATTTATTGAGCTCTTGATTTAAAGGAGAGCTGCTCTGGGTCAAAGGGCAGGGGGATGAACGGGGCTCTGCTGGTGAGCTGATGGGGAAGTCTCAGAGCTATAAAGTGCTGCTGGGACCTTTTGCCTCCATAGTGTACTTTTGACTTTATGGACAGCCCAGACACATGTCATATAAACCTTTTTTTTGGTTTCTCAGCCACAGTACTATTGACATATGGGGCCTGAGGGGTTTCTGTTGTGGGGCTACAACATCCCTAGCCTCTGTACCCACTAGTAGCACCCCCACAGTTGTGAAAAATCACCTTCAGACACTGCCAAATGTTACATGAAGAGGGGCAAAATTGCCCCCAGTTAAGAACCACTGATTTATGCTGTAATCAAGGGAGTTCTGGTGGTTAATCTGAGGGGATCAAAGAAGATTGTATTAAATGCACAGTATACTGTTAACTGATAATCTCTTTCAGTGAGGGTTACAACCACCCTCAGTGCAGAACTCCTAAGTCTAATGGAACTTTTCATAACCTAAATGTGCCATTTATGCTGCTCCTTCTCATCAGTGATTTCTACAGATTATCAGTGTACCTGTGAAATTGTAATTCCCAGGGCCCTATTCTTAAACAAGGGCACATCACACAAGCAGTAAAGAAAGTTTCTTTTGCTTTCCCAGTATCTTGCTAATAATGTACCACAAATTTGTAGTGCAGTAATATTGGAATAAAATTAGGGTAAGTATAAAATGTTCTATTCTTAAATTTACATATAAAATTCGTCACGTTGACACATCTTGTCATAAGGCACTGGAGACATGAGTCAGCTAATCACCAAGTTCAGATGGAATGTAGTGAGTTACTATCAAGTACCATGAGAACTTGCTCTTAGAATCTGCTCTTAGAAACACAGGCCCAAATGATTTTCATAGAAAGCTTACCCGCCCACACACCTTTTTTAATTTTCTATGTACTTTTTAGGTGCTAATCCAGATATGTACACTCTTAATTCTGGGAATATATAGTTCTTTCAGTCACTGTGCATTATGTCTGTTTAATAAAATGTCCATATCAGCCTCCCACTAAAGCAGTCTTCTTCTGATTTTTTGCCTATCTTTAAAGCAATGTGTTGAATTGACTTTTTTTTGTATATATCATATTGGTTGAATTCTTCAAATATGGACTCTTGCCTTAGGTAGAGGCTGATACTTCTTTTAAGTCAGCGTCAATTCTATGGCTGGAGTTTCTGTTTTCTCGACCAGAAAGTATTGTTATTCCATGTACTATAAATGTGATTATAATAAACCTTGGTAACAGAAGTCCTTATCAATAAAGTTTCACGATCCATTCCTCTTCCCAATTGATTTTTGGTTCTTTATCCTAGAAAAATATGCATTATTAATGTTTTCATGTTAAAAAGGTTTCCCTCTTGCCCTGGCCGGTTTGTCTCAGTGGTAGAGCATTGGCCCGTGGACTAATGAGTTACGAGCTCCATTCCAGTCAAGGACACGTACCTCGGTTGCAGTTTGTCCCCGGTCTTGGTTGGGTCATGTGGGAGTCAACCAGTCCATGTGTCCCTCTCACATTGATGTTTCTCCCTTTCTTCCTCTCCCTCCCTCCCACTCCATCTGAAGATAAATAGAAAAATATCCTCGGGTAAGTATTTAAAAATAAATAAATAAATAAATAAAGTTTTCCCTTTTAAGCCACAGACATCATTGTCATACTTTGAAAAATTAGACATCGGTTAAAAAAATAGCAAGAGAAGAATGTTGGCTATCACTACAGTTAGTACTGTTCTGAAAGGTTTACCCAAAGTACTCAGTCTTCAAGCAACAATAAAGTGGTGGTGGGGTGGGGAGTTAATCTAATATAGAGTGATTAGAGCCTGATGGTCGAGGACATGAACTTGAGCTAGAAAGCTTGAATTTGGTTTTGAATTTTGACTCTGCCACTTACCTGATAGCTCTTTGACCTTGGGCAGGTCATGTTTCACATAGCTCATCTGTGAAGTGGGGACAATCCTAGTACATGCTTCAAGGGTTGTTGTAAGGATTAAATGACTTTGAACACTGCCTAGCAATGCTAAGTGCTCAAGTGATAGCTATTATTTGTAGGTGATTTTTCTATGTAGAAAACCTAAGAGAATTGGTAGTGAAATTCCACTAAATTAAATGTTAAAATAGCCATTCAAAGTAACTGTACAAATTGACTTTTCTATATCTCATTACTAGACAGCAAATGGGGAAAATTTACTCACAATAGATACAAATATAAATCACCTAGTAGTAACAAGAGCGTTGGGAAATGTAAGAACTGAATAAGAATGCCCAGTCGGTGGGGCTCAGTGGAATGAGCATCATCCCATGGACTGAGAGGTCCTAGTTCCATTCCCAGTCAGGGCACATGCCTGGGTGCAGTCTCGACCTCCAGTAGGGGGCATGCAGGAGGCAGCTGGTCAGTGTTTCTCTATCACATCAATGTTTCTATCCCTCTCTCTCTAAAAAATCAATAAAAACATTTTTTAAAATTGAATAAGAAAAGAATGGAGAGATACATAGGGCCTCTGTGGTTGCACAGGGTCCTATGCTCAGAAGGTCCCTGTGTTTGGGCTTTAATGTTTTGTCTTTGCCATCTTGCAATTTTTATTTTATCTTTGAATTTTTTTTTTTTTATCCTCACCCGAGGATATTTTTCCATTTTTTGTACATAGAGTGGGAGGGAGAGAGAGAAAGGGAGAGAGAGAGAGAAACGTCGACGTGAAGAGACACATCGAGTAGCTGCCACCCGCACGACCAACCAGGGCCGGGGACAAACTTGCAACCGAAGTACGCGCCCTTAGCGGGAACCAAACCCAGGTCTCTCCAGACCGCAGGCCGACGCTCTAACCGCTGAGCCAAACTGGCCAGGGCTGAATTTTGTTTTTTAAGTGACATCTGATGGGACAGTGGAGCATGCAGGGGTGGGGGGGCGGAGCCTCAGCTCACACAATGTCTTGCCTCCTATTACCCCATGGGATGGGTTCTGGGTTCCCCTGCTCCCTGTGACTAGTCTAGCCAGGGCCTGGACACGCAGATATAGTTGGGGCTGGGTGTTCATGCCTGTGGTGGCTTCTAGCAGAGTATAATGGCATATTTAGTGGGTAGCTGGCTGGGAGCTGCATGTTGGTCACTGGGGGTAAGGGACATATATCAGGCCCACCTCTGATCCAGGTGTTCTTTGAAAAAAGGCTAACTCTGCGGTCCAGAGAGACCCGGGTTCGGTTCCCGCTAAGGGCACGTACCTTGGTTACAGTTTATCCCCGGCCCTGGTTCGGTCGTGCGGGTGGCGACCACTCGATGTGTCCCTTTCACGTCGATGTTTCTTTTCTCTCCCTCCTACTCTATCTGAACAAAATATCAAAAAATGTCCTCAGGTGAGGATAAAAAAAAGAAAGAAAAGAAAAAAGGCTAACTCCAGGGCTGGGGATGGAAAAACGACAACAACGAGAGTGAGAAACATCTTCCTTTTATGGTCCAGAAATAAGAAAGTACTTAAAGACTAATGGGAATATCTCAATAGAACAGGAATCAGCTTGAAAGGGTTCCCTCTGACCAAATTTGGAACAGTTTGAACAAAGGAAACAATATTTAATTGTGAAAAACATTGAATAAATACTGTTTTATTTTTAAATGAGAACAGAAGCAAACAGAAAACACCCTCACATATTAGAGGTTACCATTATGCCAACCCATTTGGGAAGAACTATAGTTGACATCTAATTGATGAAAGGAAAGCCTTTACAGAAAAGTACTAGTAAATTTAGAAAAAAAAAAATCGTATTTTAAACATCATTGCTTTAGCCCAGGACCAAATGACTTTATTGATGAATTCTACCATTTAAAGAATTAACATCAATCCTTCTCAAACTTTTCTAAAAAACCGAAGAGAAGAAAAATACTTCCTAACTCATTCTTGTGAGACCAGCTTTGCCCTGATACCAAAACCAGATAAGGGCACTTCAGGAAAAGAAAACTAGAGACCAATTTCCCTGATGAGTATAGATGCAAAAATTCTCAACAAAATACTAGCGATCTGTACTTAATAAAAAATTCAATCCCAAAAGGTTACATACTGTATGATTTCATATATGTCTGTGTGTTGTATATATATATATATATTTTCTCTACCTATAATTGTTTTATATATATATATTTTTATATATTATATATTTATATATTTTATATATTATATATATATAAAACAATTATAGGTAGAGAAAAAATTAGTGCTTTACAGGTGTTCAGAATGGGTTGAGAGGCGAGCTAAGTATTGTTATAATAGAGCAACACAATGGATCCTTTTCATGTGAAATTGTTCTGTATCTTGACTATTGTGGTGATTAGACAAGTTTACACGTGATAAAACTGCATCAAACTAAACCATAAATGGTATTATGTATGGCTGATGAAATCTGTATAAAATCAGTGTATTGTTTCAGTGTAAATTTCCTGGTTGTGGTATTGTGCCATAGTTATGCAAGATGTTACCATTGGGGAAAACTGGGTGAAAAGTACATGGGATCTCTATCTATTATTTCTTATTCCTGCATGTGAGTTGGCATTTATCTCAAAATAAAAAGGTGGATTTTTAAAATCTGTTAAATCATGTAGAAACAACCCAAACTCCATCAAGTGATGAATAAATAGAAAAACCAAACAATGGAATTCTTTTGTGTGAATTAATCTTTAAAAAAAATTTTTTTTTCTTTATCGATTTGAGAGAGAGAAAGAAACATCACTGAGAACGAACATCGATTGGCTGCCTCCTGCATGCCCCCACTGGGCATGTGCCCTGACCAGGAATCGAACCTGTGACCTCTTGGTACATGGGTCAATGCTCAATCACTGAGCCACACTGGCAGGGTTTGTGTGAATTAATCTTATTTTTATTTGATTGAAGAAAGAGACTGCCCGTGATCATATGGGCGATGTCCAAATCATTTATTTATTTATTTTTGTTAGTCCTCATCCGAGGATATTTTTCCACTGATTGTTAGGAAGAGAGGAAAGGAAGGGGGTGGGGGGGGGGAGATATCAGTGTGAGAAAGACACATCAATTGTTTGCCTCCCACACAACCCAACCAGAGCCGGAGATCGAACCTGCAACCCGGGTACATGCCCCTGACTGGGAATTGAACCTGCGACCCTTTGGTCTACAGGCTGACTCTAACCACTGAGCAACTGTCTGGGCTATTTTTTTTAATTAAATTTATTTGGGGTGGCAGTGGTTAATAGGATCATATGGGTTTCAGGTGTGGATTTCTTTCTTTCTTTTTTCCCCCCTGCATCCTCTCCCTCTTAGTCTCCCAAAGAGAGAGAAGAATGATCATCAATGACAGCAATTGCAAAAGCAACACCAAAAGCCGGCTTCACGCTCAGGGGAGAACACTGCATCTCCTCCTCATGGTTTCCAATGCTCTGCCCGTTCAGAGAAACTTCTCTAGTAACAAAATATAGAAATGATCCCTGAAAGTACAGTCTTTCAGGTGTGGATTTCTATGTTACAGGATCTGTACATTGCACTGTGTGCCCACCACCCAGTCAAATCATCTCACGTCACCATATATTAAGCCCCTTCACTCCCCAGCCCCCCACCCCTTCCCTCTGGCAACCACCACACTGCTGCTGTCTGTGTCCAGGAGGCCCACACCAAGACACATGATAATGAAAATGCCCAAGGTTAAAGACAAAGAGAGAAAATTAAAAGAATCAAGAGGAGCCCTGGCCGGTTTGGCTCAGCAGTTAGAGCGTCGGCCTGCGGTCCGGAGAGACCCGAGATCGGTTCCCGCTAAGGGCATGTACCTCGGTTGCAGTTTGTCCCCGGCCCTGGTTGGTCGTGCGGGTGGCAGCCACTCGATGTGTCCCTTTCACGTCGATGTTTCTCTCTCTCTCTCTCTTCCTCTCTCTCCCTCCCACTCTATCTGTACAAAAAATGGAAAGGTATCCTCGGGTGAGGATTAAAAAAAAAAAAAAAAAGAATCAAGAGGAAATTAGTTAGTTATGGGCATGGGAGCTATCATAAGACTGTCAGCTAATTTCTCAACAGAAACTCTAAAGGGCAGAAGGGAGTGGCACAAAAATATTCAAAGGGATGAAAAACAAAGACCTACAATTGCCCTGGCTGGTTTGGTTCAGCGGTTGGAGCGTCGGCCTGTTGTCCTGAGAGACCTGGGTTCGGTTCCCGCTAAGGTCGCGTACCTCAGTTGCAGTTTGTCCCCGGCCCTGGTCGGTTGTGCGGGTGGCAGCCACTCGATGTGTCCCTTTCACATCGATGTTTCTCTCTCTCTCTGTTCCTCTCTCTCCCTCCCACTCTACCTGAACAAAAAATAGAAAAATGTCCTCGGGTAAGGATAAAAAAAAAAAAGACCTACAATGAAGACTACTCTATCCAGATGTGGCACAGTGGTGTGGCAGCCACAGTTAACTAGCAAGATGGAAAGCCGCAGACCCGTGATTTAGAATCAAAGGAGAGATAGAGGGTTTCCCAGACAAGAAAAAGCTAAAGGAGTTCATCATCACTAAACCAGTACTAAAAGATATGTTGTAGGGACTTCTTTAAGAAAAAAAAAGGATCAAAAATATAAATAAGAAAATATAGAAAAGAAAAAAATGCTCACTCACAAAAACAAACACTTAGTAAAATCAGTGGATCAACCAAGTATAAAGCTACTAAAAAAGGTTAAAAGGCGAAAGTAGGAAGATCACATGTATTTACAATGATAAATTAAGGGATACTCACAACTCATATACACAAGAAGTAAAACATGATGATAAAAACATAAATGTGGAGGGAGGGAGTAAATATTGCAGTGATTTTAGAATGTTAGAACTTAGCCAAACATCAACTTAAAATATAGTACTATAAAAATAGCTTGGTATATATGAAGCATATGGTAACCACAAGCCAAAAATCTGCAAGAGATACACAAGAAATAACAGATAAGGAGTCCAAACATAACACTAAAAATTGCCCTCAACATACAAAAGAGAGCAAGAGAATAAGAAAGGAATAGGGAAGAGCAAGATAAACAATCAGATAACAATAAAAATGGTAATAACTACATGCCCATCAATAATTACTTTAAATGTAAATAAATGGACTAAATGCTCTAGTCAAATAACAGGGTGGCTGCCCTGGCTGGTTTGGCTCAGCGGTTGGAGTGTTGGCCTGCAGACCCTAGAGTCCCAGGTTCGGTTCCCGCTAGGGGCATGTACCAAAAGAATAATAATAATAACAACAGAGTGCCTGAACTGACAAAAATACAAAACCTGCACACATGCTACCTACAAGAAACCCACTTCAGATCAAAAGACACACAGAGACTGAAAATAAAGGGATGGAAAAATATTTCCTACAAATGCAAATGAAACAAAAAAGCTGGGTAGCCATATTTATATCAGCCCAAATAAACTTTAAAACAAAGGCTGTATAGACAAAGAATGACATTTCATAGTGATAAAGGGAGTGATCCAGTAAGAGGATAACTCTTGTAAATATGTGTGCACACAACACAGGGGCACCTAAATCTATAAAGCAAATCTTGAGGGACATAAAGGAAGAGATTGATAGTAATACAGTCATAGTAGGGTATTTTAACACCCCTTTGACATCAATGGATAGATCATCCAGACAGAAAATCACCAAGGAAATAGTTGCTTTATTTATTTATTTTTAATCCTCACCCGAGGATATTTTTCTATTTATCTTCAGACAGAGTCAGAGGGAGGGAGAGAGACAGCAACGGGGACGAACCGCAACCAAGGTCCATGCCCTTGAGCAGAACTGAACCCACGACTCATTGGTTCGTGGGCTGACGCTCTAACCACTGAACCAAACCGGCCAGGACAGAAATAGTTGCTTTAAATGACACATTAGGCCAGCTGGATATTATTCATATTTTTAGAACATTTCATCCCAGAGCAGCAGAATATACATTTCTTTCACGTGCACATGGAACATTTTTCAGAAGAGACCACATGTTTGGCCACAAAACAAGTCTCAATAAAATTTAAGACTGAAATCATATCAAGCAACTTCTTCAATCACAATGCTATGAAACTAGAAATCGGTTACAACAAAAAAACTGAAAAACACCCAAACACATGGAGGCTAAATAATATGTTACTAAACAATGAATGGGTTAACTATGAGATCAAATAAGAAATCAAAAGATATTCATCAGCCATAAAAAATAATAAAACCTTCTGTGACAACATGGATAGACCTAGAGGGTACTATGTAAATGAAATGTCAGAAAGAAAAAACCAATACCATATGATTTCACTTATAAATGGAATTTAAAAAACAAAACAGAAACTCATAGATACAGAGAAGAAATTGATGGTTGACAGATGGGAGGGGTTTGGGAGGATGGGAGATAAAGGGGAAGGGATTAAGAAGTACCAATTGGTCCTGGCTGGTTTGGCTCAGCGGTTAGAGCATCAGCCTGCGGTCCAGAGAGACCAAGGTTTGGTTCCCACTAAGGGCACGTACCTCAGTTGCAGTTTGTCCTCGACCCTGATTGGGTCGTGCAGGAGGCAGCCACTTGATGTGTCCCTTTTATGGCAATGTTTCTCTCTCTCGCTCTCCCTCCCCTCTATCTGACCAAAAAATGGAAAATGGTCTCGGATGAGGATTAAAAAAAAAAGGAAGTACCAATTGCCAACTATAAAAATAGTCACGGGATGTCAATTACAGCATAGGGAATATAGTCTATAATATTGTAATAAGTAGGTATGGTGTCAGATAGGTAGTAGACCCATCTGGGTGATCACTTTGTAAGTTATGTAAATAACTAATCACTCTTGTACACCTGAAACGAATATATTTTTGTCAAGTGTAATTAAAAAATAATACATGCTGTGGACATATGTGCTTACTACAGCAAAATACTGATGAAGAAATCAAGAAAGAGCTAAGCAAATGGAGAAACATACTGTGTTCATAGAGTGGAATACCCAACATAGTAGATATACTAATTCCCCCCAAACTGAGCTACAGTGTTAAATACAATTTCTATCAATATCCCAGCAAAAATTTTTGTATGTATAAATGAACTTATCTAAAATTCATATGAAAAAGAACAGGATTAAGAAAAATTAAAACAATTTTTTTTTTGAAGATTTTTTTTTTTTTATCCTCACCCGAGGACATTTTTCCACTTTTTTATTCAGATAGAGCGGGAGGGAGAGAGAGGAAGAGAGAGAGAGAAACATCGACGTGAAAGGGACACATCGAGTGGCTGCCACCCCTATGACCCTACCAGGGCCAGGGACCAACTGCAACCAAAGTACATGCCCTTAGCGGGAACCGAACCCTGGCCTCTGTGGACCGCAGGCCGACGCTCTAACCGCTGAGCCAAACCGGCCAGGGCTTAAAACAATTTTTAAAAAGAAAAAGTTGAAGGAATCACTTTATCCAATTTTAAGATTTGCTATTTAATTACAGTAATCAAGACTGCAGTATTAGTTGAGGTGTAGACACATAGATCTATGGAACAGAATAAAGAACATAAATTGGACACACACAAATATGACCAATTGATATTTTCCAGCTGATTTTGACAAAGGTTTAAAAACAATGGAATGGAAGAAGGATAGACTTTCAACTAATGGGGCTGTAGCAGTTGGACATTTATAGGATTAAAACAGTGAATATGTACCTAAATATAAGTCATAACTTCTATAGTACTTTTAGAAGCAAACAGAGAGTCTTTATTTATTTCTTATTCCTCACCTGAGGATATTTTCCTACTTATTATCAGATAGAATGGGAGGAAGGGAGAGAGAGAAAGACAGAGAGAAACATCGATGTGATAGAGCCACACTGAGGTATGCCCTTGACCGAAATCGAACCCGCGACTCATTGGTCTCCGGGGAAACACTCCAACCTCTGAGCCAAACCGGCCAAGGCAAACAGAATCATTGGAGGCCTAGGGCTAGGCCAAGAGTTCTTAGACATGACACCAGAAGTATGACCCATAAAAGAAAAACGATTGATAAATTGAACTTAAAAATTTTAAACTTTTGATCGATGAAGGACCCTGTTAATAGAATAAAAATACAAACTAGAGACTGTAAAAAAAAAAAAAATGTTTTTGCAAATTATATATCCAAGGAACGACTAACATCCATGATATATAATGAAGACTCTGAACTCAACAGTTGAAAAAGGATTCAATCAGAAAACGGGCAAAGACTTGAACAGAAAGCCAGCCAGGAAGATACATACAAGACCTTTCCATGGGAAAAGCCCAAGTTTTTCAATCAGTGATCCTGAGAAAACTACTTATGATCATGCAAAAGAATGAAACTGTGAGGGGGGCATCCGCTTCACGACAGATTGAGAAGGCTCTTTTGTTTCTTTCCGGAAAGTTACAAATTGGACAACTGTTCGACGAAGAGACCGGACTGAGAGGTCCAAGCACGGAGGCAGCGGAAGGTGCGCGTGGGAATGAGCGGGACGTGGGGGCGGGGCGGCCC